ATAAAGCGGAAGCGTTTGGCGCGTGAGATGCACGAGGCGGAGCGGAGTTGTTTTTTGGGGGCATGTTTGGAGCGCCGCCAGAGGAATATTTTGAAGGCGAGAAGGAATTGGGCTAGGATGAGCTGGAGGGCTTCGGAGTTGGTGGATGGGACGTTATGGATTTTTTTCTCGCAGCGGAAGTTCCAAATGGCTTTGGCGGCAGCTCCAACGAGCAGGCTCCATGTGGCTGTTCGGCCGGCTTCGGAGTGGAGGGGAAAGAGGGAGTGTGCTGGCTCGATGGATAGGCCTAAATGGCGATTAGCGATTGTGCGAAGCGCCCTGGTGACCGCAACTGCAACGCCGCACTCGAAAAATATGTGAGAAATAGTCTCTGTCACTCCTGTGTCACAGCAGGGGCAAACACCACGGTCGTTCGCATATGGGTAGCGGGAACCGGAGGGAAGAGAACGCGTGTAGAGGCGGAAAAGATTATCACGTTGGAGGCTTGGTTGTTCGCGGAGGAAATCGTGGGACATATTAGGGAAGAAGGAAGGAAGAGGCCTAGGGAGGAGTGGGGTCCAGCGTGAGTCATGGTCGAGGGGCTGTCGGTTGTAGTGCATCTGGCGGATGGCTGCTAGGGACGGAGGTTCGTCCTGTATCAGCTCAATCCGCGCTCCTAACCCGGCACCTGTATGGAATGGCCCTGCCAGCCATCTACCCTGGACGTGGACTGGCACGAGTAGCCGGAGCTCAAGGAGGCGGGAGTCCAGAGGTTGTTTGGATATGACGGATTCTCGAGAGACTGAGAAGGCGTTGGCGACCAAGGTGTCTGGCGGGTAGAAGTGGAGGGTTTCGAAGGGAAGGGAAGGAGGGTCCTCATTGTTCCCGGCGAGGGTGAACCAGTCACCAGGTGCGGGGCGGGGAAGAAGTGCTGAAGCGAGAGTTGACCACCATTCTTTAGGGATAGCCTCCACGATCTCCGCGAGGATTCGTCTTCCGGAGGCGAAGTAGCAAGGGGGGAACAACATGGTGAATTCCTTTTCCGAGACGGGGCGGGTCGAAGTGGGGGTAATACGTGCGAAATGGCCGAGTCGTAGCTCGAGAGAAAGGAGGAAACGTTCGTTCTTGGGGCCGCCAAAAGGTTTGCCGTCGGGCCGGACGATGAAGCGGTTGAAGGCGAGGGGTTCTTCTAGGAGGCATGCGGCGATTAGTTTGGGGGGGGGAAATGTTGGGGCCGAGAGAGATGAAAGCATGGAGTTCAGCGAGAGCGTGTGGGGTGGTATTCGAAGGCAAGTTGTCACAAAGAAGGATGCCAGTATGGACAAGGAAGGCGTGTAATCCAAAGGGGAGTGTGGAAGTGCCACGGGCAATGGTCTTAGTGGGGGAGACGCCGAAGCGTTGAAGTGCCCGTTGCATTGACAGGGCGAGCACTTGCTGAGAGGGGGATATCACACCCAGACCCCCGTGCGAGACGTGATTATATAAGATTCCTTTAGGGATCAGACGGGAAGCGAGACCTTGTTCCTTATAGCGAGAGCAGGAAAGAAAGTTCCCCACTGAGATTTCTGTATGTGACAGAGTCGGTGTGGGCACCGGTTGGAACCGGGCTGGGAAGGAGAGGGACGAGTTAAGGAAGATGTTAGAGAGAGATTTACGGCATGAGGCGGTGGCTCGGAAGCCGGCCAGTGCCTTGGCTGTCCGTTGGATTTTGGAGAGTGTGGTATCCCATGTGGTGGTGCCAGGAGCCGCTTGTTCGACATAGATTCCCAGAATGCGTTCGGGTTCCTCTGGTGAGCGGATGGGAATTGCGCCTGCGTTCGATATGGATTGTGGGGGGGTGTTGAGCGGGATCAAGGAACATTTCCCCCAATTGGGGTGTTCCCCTGAGAAGGATGCGAAGGCTAATAAGTTTGAGGTGGTTGTCGCGAGTTCGGCGTTTGAGTTGAGAAACAGGGTTACGTCATCGGCGTAGCACGCCATGAGGCAACGTTGTGAATTAAGAAAACAGGAATGGAATGACTAAGTGAAAGTTGGGTACAAAAAGCAAACCCTAGAAAACTGTACCCCATATGTGCTACCCCACTATAGCCTACAGTAGCTATGTCATATAAATCTGACACACCCCCATAGGTAAAGTGGGGGAGAACAAGGGGTCACAAGACCAGTCAAGCAAAGCAAAACAAGCTCAGGGTGGATCACAAAGTCACCACACATTCCGAGCACAAGTTCAAGGCCACAAGGCCAGTTCACATGCAGGATTGCATATATATATGTATATATAAGACTAGACAAGCAAGAGCAGGTGTATATATATATGCAACAGTACAAACAAGGTCAAGGGGTGAGCAAGTGAGGCAAGGTAGGCACAAGACCAAGCTGAGTACAGAAGCGCTGATGATCACAAGGCGCAAGTGCCTTGGTGAAGATATCAGCAGTGTTGGCCTCAGAGGCCACGTACGCAAGCCGCAGCTGACCACGCTTCTGTAGCTCACGAGCAAGGAAGTAGCGGAGAGCAATGTGCTTCGTTCTGTGCTCCAGTCTCTGCTCTCGACACAAGGCCAGCATGGCCTTGTTGTCTACGTACAACACTGGAGGAGAACGAGGCGGCTCTCCGAGGTCAGTCAGCAGGTAGGTGAGCCAGCGAAGCTCCTGTGCAGCCATGGCCCCGGCGTAGATCTCAGCCTCACAACTGGAGCCGAGAACAGAAGACGAGCGGGTAGCCCGCCACGAAACAGAGCCGGAACCAAGGCTGAAGGTGTAACCCTGTGACGACCGCTGCGTAGCCTGGTCGTCAGCCCAAGAAGCGTCTGCGTGCCCAGTGAGGACCACTGGACTCTGCCCTCCAAGCACAAGCCCCATGCCCGACGTACTGCACAAGTAGCGCAACACCCTCTTCGCTGCAGCCATGTGCTCCGGTCTGTGTCTCCCAGGAGCAACATAGCGTGCAAGAATGCTAAGAGGGTACGCAAGGTCAGGTCGTGTGCAGGTCATCAGGTACATGAGGCAGCCAACAAGCTCTAGGTACGGGCCACTCGACTCTACGGACTCATCCGAAGGCAGAGCTGAGAGCGAGTGGCGAGTAGGCAGAGGAGTGGCCTGAGGCGAGGAGTACGTGAAGCCGAAGCGCTGAAGGACCTGCTGCACCATGTGTGACTGAGTCAGGGTAATGGTGCGGCGTGCTCTGTCCCGGGTGATCTGCAAGCCAAGGTAGCTGCGCAGTTCACCCAGGTCTGTGCACGTGTGTCTCTTCTGCAGCTCGGACTTCACGTGGGCGAGTCCAGCAGTGTCAGCTGTGGCGAAGACCAAGTCGTCGACGTACACGAGGATGTAGAACGGCGGCAAAGAAGTGTCGGTGCGCAGAAACAGCGACGGGTCGGCAGTAGAGGGAGCAAACCCAAGAGCCGCAAGTGTAGTCCTCAGTGTGTCGTGCCACTCACGCGGTGCCTGGCGGAGACCGTAGACTGGCCGCCGGAGGCTCCACTGGGTGCCAGGAGGAAAAGACCCAGTGAAGCCAGGTGGGCGACGCAGCCAGATCTCCTCGTGCAGGCTGCCCTGCAAGAAAGCAGTGCTGAAGTCAAGAGAGTGCAGCTCGTAGTCGCGGTGAGCAGCTATGTGCAGCAGTACCCGAAGAGTGGTCATCTTCGGGGTGGGAGAGAAGGTCTGAAAGTAGTCAACTCTCCTGCCCCCGCTGCTGATGCTGACGCCACTGTTCGCTCACAGTGGGCCACGCGCGATGCTGCTGCACGTCTTGCTGTGCGTCGCCACCTGCCTACCTCTGATACCATGTGAATTAAGAAAACAGGAATGGAATGACTAAGTGAAAGTTGGGTACAAAAAGCAAACCCTAGAAAACTGTACCCCATATGTGCTACCCCACTATAGCCTACAGTAGCTATGTCATATAAATCTGACAAACGTTGCGTCTTCGTTAGGGCAAAGCCAGGGAGGGAGCGGGACATGTGCCTTCGGAAGATTTCGATGGCGCATATGAAGAGTAGGGGAGCGAGTGGGCAGCCCTGGCGGACTCCTGTGCAGACTGGAAATTCGGCGCCAGAGAGGCTATTGACTGAAATACATGTGGAGGTTTGGGAGTGCGCAAGACGGACCCAGGCAATGAACGTATCTGGGATGCCCAGGTATGCCAGGCAGGCGAAGAAGAAGGGACGATCTAAGGAGTCGTATGCTTTTCCAATGTCAACGGTGAGGGCGAGGAGGGGCGAGTGTTTGTACGTAGCCCAATCCATGATGTCCAGTATGTCGTTGATGGTGTCCCCTATTTTGCGATGTTTGATGAATGCGGTTTGGGAGGGGTGGATGAGTATGGGGAGGACTTTTTGGAGACGGTTGGCGAGACAGAGTGCAAGAATTTTGTAGTCGGCATTCATGAGAGTGATAGGGCGGAGGTTGTCCAGGAGGGATGCGTCTCCTTTCTTGGGAATGAGAACCGTCCGGCCGCGAAGCATTGACGGTGGGAGGGCGTGGAGGGGTGAGGATGTGGTGAACAAGGTGTGAAACAGCAGGGAGAAACAGTCTTTATAGATGCGGTAAGGTTCACCGGGGAGGCCGTATGGGCCTGGCGTCTTGCCCCTCGGGAGGTGAGAGATTGCTTTGTCAATTTCCATGGGTGTGAACGGGGCTCCCAGGAGGAGTTCAAGAGGGGGGGGGGGAGCGATGAGGTTGGGATGTGTTGGCAGAAGTTGGTGGACGGAGTGATCGATTGTGTGCCACTATAGAGGGTGCGGAAGAAGGCGGTGCAGGCTGCTGTCATCGTGGGGAGGTGGTCAGAGGTGGCGCCGGAAGAAAGTGTGATGGAGGAAATATGAGAAGCTTTTATACGGGCCCCTAGGCCGGCAAGGAGTGGGGAGATTCTCATTTCTCTGTGGCCTTCGACTTTAATTTTGTCTTTGAACGCAAGCTCGGCAGCCTTAGTTGCTTCGTAGCGTGCGAGTTGGAGCTGGGCCTTGGCCAGGGAGTCTGCCGTGGAGATATTAGGGGCCTGGGAGGCAGATAGCAAGCGAAGGTTACAAATCAAGAGTTACAAGTGCTCGATGGTCTTGGCGACGTGGTTCCAGTCGGGAGGCAGACGGCGGGGCGACGGGGTCGGCTGGGGGGGCAGGCGGAGGGACTGCGGCGGGGTCGGCTGGGGCGGCAAGGGGTTGGGGGGCGGAGGGGTCAGCAGGGAAGGCGGGCGGGGGAATGACGGGGTTGGCAGGGTCGGCGGGGGTGGCAGATCGGCGGGGACGGCTGTGGAAGGAGAAGAGGGAGGTGACGGGGTGTAGCGCACGAAACGTGTCGATTGTGGAGTGTGATGCTGGAGAAGAGAACCATTTCCCCTCTTTCGTTGCTGTGGAGAGGACAGTTGCGGTCAGCAGGGGCGTCTACCCAGTTAAAGTCGCCGGCGAGGAGGGTGGCCGCGCATGCGGAGGGGGATTCCAAGGCGGGTTTGAGGGTATGTTGCCACCATTGGCGACAGTCAGAGACACAAGAAGGGGCGTAAACCGCGAGAAGGCGGAGTTGCTCGTTCAGGTAATTCAAGTGGACTGTTAGCAAACGACCGTCAGGAGAGGCGAGTTGGGAGGAGAAGGAGATGGTTTTATTGAAGCATAGAATGGCTATACCTCCCGGGGGTGGGCGGGTGGTATTGCTGACCGGGGGAGCTTGTGCGTGCGATGAGGGGTGGAGTTTCAACGTGAGCTTGGTGTAATTGCGCGTTAGGCGGGTATCTATCAGGATGAGGATGTCTGTGCGGGTGCTTTGAGAGGATAACTAGTTGCGACGTTCGCTCATTTTTTGCGGTTGGTTTATTCCGTTTACATTAAGACAGCGTACGTGTATGTGTGTTTTCATGGGGGCTGAGTTGAAGCCCACGCGTGTGTGGACACGCGTTTCCACCGGGCTGGCCAGGACATGAGGGACTTGCCTTGACTGAAGGAAAGGAAGGTGGGGAGGCTGAAGCAAGAGGTGGGTAGTACAAATACCGGAACAAGGATATATGTTGTTTGGGGCAAGGGTTTGTGCGTCGACTGTTCGGGTGATTGCTTAGGTTTGAATGGAGTGGCGGTACTCAACATGGGTACGAGTAGAGATATAATAATGACGAGTACAATTGCACATGAGCTGGCCAGAAAGTCATACCCTAATTGGGGGCCGAATAAGGGGTACAACCAAGAAGTAGCTAGCAAGGGGCCTCTACCAAGGCGTTCACGCAATGGCGCAAAGTTCAGCCACGAAGGAAGGCAGACACCTGAGGCTTCTGCTGCAGAGTGAGAGCACGCCAAGGGCCGAAAGCCTCCTTGGCTGCCGGGCGGTGGGCCGTAGCCTTCACGCGAGAGGTGTGCTGGGTGGACTGAATGTGGTCCATGGCGCTGTCGAGGGCAGCGCCGGAGGTGAAGTCGCAGAGCGCGCATGTCCAGGTCTCCACCTTGTCGTCCAGCCCGATGTAGATGAGGCCGGGGTCGTTGCGGAAGGTGGTCGGCGCAGCGTGGTTCCCCAGGATGTTGCTTGCGTGGGGGAAAGCATTCGGGAGGGGGGGAAAAAGCCAGGAGGAGAACAGGGTTGGATGGAGGCCCAGCCACAAGGGGGGTGGGGGGGGATGAGGACTGTAGGGAAGGGGGGGTGATGTGCATGTAGTGGGGAAAGAGGGAACATGCAGGGGGGGGGGGGGACACAGCCAAAAGGTGGGGAGGGGCTGCTTGCTTGGGGACAGGGTGAGGGGCCCCAGGGGGGAGGGCTGCCGGCAGAGGGGGGGGAACCAGGGGCACGTGGGGTAGCCCAGAGAGAGCACGGGGGAGGGCGGGGGCCTAGGGAGAGCACCCTGGGATGAGACAGCAGGGGTATCGGAGGGATCCCTGGGATATATTTTCCTGCGGGGATTGGAGGGAGTGGGGGGAGAGAGAGGGTGTGGGTTGCGTATACGTGAGTGCGGAGGCCCGTCCTCCGGGGAAGACGGGGGGAGAAATGAAGGGAAGCGCGGGGGGGTGCGGGAGGTGGCAGAAATTCGGGAGGTGGCAGGATGGGAAGAGGCAGTGGACCTGTGAAGGATGGAGCAGGAGAGGAGAGAGGGTGTGACCGGAGTGAGCGCGGGGGTGGATGGGGTCCGGTCCGCCGGGGGGGGTGGGGGAGGTAAAACCGGGTTGGGGGGGGAGGGTGGGCGTGATTGGGGGTGAGGGAGAGAGTAGCGGGGGGCAAGGAACGGCGCAAGGAGGATGTGTGGGTGGGCGAGGACCATAGCTCTGGAGGAGCGTGGAGGTAGTGAAACGGGGGGGGGGGGGGGGGGGGGGAGATGGCGAGTTGGAGGGCAGAAAGGGGAGTTTCAAGGGAACCAATACGGAGAGACAAAAGAGCGGTGGGATAACAAAGCCGGGGGAGGTTTGTGAGGAGCGTACCGTTTGCAGCTGCGCAATCGAGATCACGTTACGGTTCGTGAGGCGCTGCCGACGGCGGACTGCGAAGGCCTCGTGGTCCGACGCACGGTGGTTGTTGGCGCACAGCGAGCACAAGTGACAGGAAAAGTTGAGCACCATGGGAGGTTTGTTATCCTCCGGCAAGATTTCGGATGGGATGCGTTCGAAGTTGGGGTCGTCGGGGGTGGCGATTGGAAGCCCTGCGAGGTGAGTGAAATACGTGTCCTCGTACGGGTAAGAGGCGCGGTGGAAGTTCGTCAGATCCGCAAGCCAGTGCGCGCCATCCGACTCGGTGGAACCGAGGAGATAAGCACGGATGTCCTCTGGAGGGAACTCCAGGGGGACGTTGCGAATAGACAGGGTGGGTGCGCCGGCGGCCTTGGCAGCGGTGAAGCCATCGAACCTGTCCACGAACACCTTAAGCAGAATGGGGCGGGAGTTGGGGACTTTGAGCGAGAGGGGGAACAGCTTGCGGAAGGCCGCCGCATCCTCCTGCGACGGCCAGGAGAAGAGCAGGCGGCCGTACACCCAGCGGGCGACGCAGTAAGGGTCTCCAACGGTCTGTTTGAAGTCAGGGATAATGCCAGATGTGAACATAAAGCCACACAGCTCTGCATTGATACCGGCGAGAATTTCAGAGCGGTGCGATTCCAGCCCGGCTTTCGAGAGGAGAACTGTGACAACCACGCGGCGGCGCAAGGGGAATATCATCGGGGTAGCGGCATCCGTGCGCACGCGGCGCCGACTGCTGGGGGGACCGCCCGGAGTGGGCGAGGCGAAGAGCGAGGCGGGCAGCGCAGGAGCCAAGTTAGAGCCAGCGGCGACGGACGCGTAAGCGGTTGCGCGGGTAGCCGGGCTGTTGGGAGATGCTGCAGTTGCACCCTGTGCCGGCGCCAGGCCGATCGGAGGCGCAGTGAGAGCGGCGGCTGCGGGGGGCGCGGGAGAGTGTGTAGGCTGTGCCGGGGCCGAATCGGAGGAGGTGGCGGGGGAGAAGGAGGGAGGATTAGGAGCGTGGCTGGTACTCGGTTCCATACACGGTTTCTTCGCGGCGGGGAGGTCGGGGGGTTCGGCGAGGTGGTGGAACATGCCTTCGGGCAGATCGTCCACCTCTTCGGCGGCGGACATGGTCATATCTGAGTTATAAGTCTGCTCTGCCATGTTTCAAGGAAGGAAGGAGAAACGAAAACGATTGTGAGATGGGGAATGAGAAGGTGGAGAGGGTGGGGATCCCTTAAATAGAGAGAGAACGAGCGAGCAGGCGAGAGGGACCTGAAGGGTACCGGGAAGACGAGGGAGCGAATGAAGGCGACGGGCAGGAGGCCATGGGGTCGGGTGGCCTAGGGGAGAGCGTGGGGGCGGATTGGTGGGAGGGCGGGTGTGAGGGGGAGTACCAGGAAAGGTGGGGGTGGAGTTGAGACTGCGTAAATCAAGAGCCATGGCGAGGAGAATAGGGAACTGTAACAGGAATGGGTGCCTAGTCGACGACCCAAAACCAGGGACTTTTCGAGGGTCCGAACGCGAGTGGGGGTTGAAACTGGCGGACTAGGCGGCGCGCCGAGCTTCCTAGCCATTGTAATGGCGGAGCCGGAGGTGGCAACGGAGGGGGGGTAGGGCTGGACGAAGAGGGAATGCCGGAGACGAAGGTGCTTGAAGAGGCTTGGCGCGGCAGGAAGAGGACGATCCGTTGGCGTGGGCTGCGAAGAGGCACAAACAAACTTCCGGGGAGGGGGGAAGGCGAAGGAGGGGAGGGATGGCCCGTAAGGGAACGGAGGACGTGGCAGTAGTGAAATGGCGGGGTTGCGCGAGAAATTGTGCAGATATTTATGGCGAGAGAAAGGTTACGGATTGGCAGCACTTACTTGGAGGGAGCGTTGTTGTGAGGCGCTGAACGTTGGGAGCTGACCTCCGGTAGCCCGATGTGAGGAGGGGTGTTCGGCAGTTGAGAGTGATGGGGAGGGGACAGGGTGGGAGGAGATGCCCTGCTAGTATAGTGTCGATTTGAGGTGTAGAGGTAAGAAAACGCCAATTGTATGGAACCAGAGAGAAAGAAGAAGCTTACCTGAAAACGCAGGTGAGTCGGGTAGGAGGAACCTGCTTAGGCGACCTAGGGTTTGACTAGCTACGCTGCCTAAGGGGCGGGAAGCGTGGGCCGCGAAGGCCATATTTTTCAGATTCAGAGTTGAGGTGGAGGGCGGCTCCCATCCCAAAAATGTAATAGTTTACATGGAATTGAGTGAGGAAACTAATGTTTCACTATCTAGGCAAAACAGTACATTGAGCGAAGGAACGAGCGAATGTTATATAACGAACTAGCGTGGTAACAGTAACGCACGAATTGTGGGGTGCGCGACGGGCCTGGCGCCGAGGTTGGGAATTGTCAAGGCGGACGACCGGAGCGACGGAGAGGAGGTTGAAGCGAAGATCTTGGACGACAAGCACGCCGCTGATGTGAATCGAGAAGTTGGTGTCGCTCGACTTGAGTTGGATCTCTTCGCGTTCCTTCGCGACGGTGATTTCCACCTCGTTCATAAGTGGCTCACTATTGAGGATGAACCGGGAGAAGGCTACCATGCGTTGTCCGCAGCAGCTATCCAGGTACCATGTGCTGAAGTCGTGCCGCTCCTCCTTTGCGATGTTGGTGATTAGCGGTGTGACGTGATGTTCGATGTTCGAATCATAGTTTAAATCTCCTTCGTCTTGTTCTGCGATGCATGCAGGTGGTGATTCCGGAATCCACGGCGGCATCTCCCATTCGATAGGAATTCTTCCGACCGTGAGCTAGTCAAACGTGGGGTCGTTTTCTTCTTCTACTTCGACCGAGCTTTGTTCTTCTTCCGGGGGATCTCTGAACACGTCTTCCTAGGTGTGGAAGTAGCAAAAGTTGCGAGGAATATTCCGCGGAGGACCGTGATGCACCATGCAGGTCAAAACCTTGCCTTTTGCTTTGTTGTTGTCTGCAGGGATGTGAAGGCGCTTGCGAGGAGCTGGCGACTAAAGAAGGCGAGATGGTTTGGCTCCGCGCCGGGGGTCCTTGGTAACTTCCTGTTGTCTATTAGTATGATGCTGGACCTGATTGTCCTTGCGCGCGGTTGTTGTTGTTGTTGCTCTCAGCTCCCTTTCTCTTTTAGCTTTGTTTGATGGTGAGTCCCATCTTCTTGCAGTACTTGCAAGACGACTTCGTTTTGTCGGTTGCTGCTTCTCAGATTCCGGCATAGAAAGCACGTCTTTCATTTCTTTCATCCTTGTTTCCTCTTTCGTTGTACATGCCGATCTCTTGTTGCTCGGGGAGGAGTGTTGCGCAGAGCGAGGCTTCGGGGATCGCACCTTGAGTGCGTAGGACTGACTTGCACTGCCGCCACTCTGGACACAGGCCAGCAAGGATAACGGTCACGAACATGTCGTCAGGGAAGTGCCTGTCGCTTTTCTTAAACTGGTCTCTCAGGTTTCTGCAACGGTTGATGTATGCTCCTGCTTTTTCGCCAGGAGTCATTGTGACGGCATTGTGAGCTGGCTTAGCCACACCGCTGATAGCTGAAAGCTGTACAGTACCAGCATTTCTGCGGACAGCTGCGCACCTACATGCGCCACTGCCAGCTTTACTTGCGCCAAGTTGTACTGCTACTGTACCAGAGCTGCTTGTCAGCTCGCTCCACGCGCGACGCCGCCACCTTCGCCAAATCGTTCTGCTAGTGTACTGTAGTAACGGTGTCGTGCCCTTGCAGTAACCAGCCACATGCAGCTGCCAGCCACTTGTAGCTGCCAACATTACACACTTCGAATGTCGACACATTTCAGCCTTTCGATGATCTGAGTTACCAAGCATTTTACGGTGACCATTGATCGACACTTCTTGATCTTTTGTCTGATGCCGATCCCGATCAGACTCCCTTACCTCACAACGCTGACCAAGCAGACTGCCACCTTTCTAGTCGAAGTGCCATCCGACTAAAAAAACATTTTGGAGGTGACAATCAGAGAGCCCAAATTTGAAACGCCAGCCCTGGTTCACGTGACTACATCTTCTACGAAAGGCTGTCGGTGTCACTGTTCTGCCAGCACCGCACTGCACAACAAGCACCGGGCAACATCTTCCAGGAAGAACAAAGCTTCGGAACGGATCAAGACGAAATTGACGTGGCAGAGCAAGTGCTAGAGGATCAAATCGAAAACGATCCACCCATCGTTCCCGTTACAAGCGACTTCAACACCCCGACATTCATCACAACTGACATCGACCCAAACAAAGCATTTCAAGCTGAGCGTACCTACGAAAGTGCTGAAAATCACTCACCTATAGAGGAAGACCCCAGCCTGGATACTTTGTGCGACAGCGTTCGCGAAAACCCAGGCAACCACGAAGACAATAATGTGGTGGAAGTCACCGACAACGAAAACCGTGCTCTCCTCTGAACCACAAGGTTACGCATCCTCGGCCTCGCCATCACATTTTGTGGCACTCAGCATCCCATTGAGCCCACAACAGTTCGCCAAGCCCTGCAAGGGCTGGATAGTGAGAAATGGAGAGCAGCCATGGCCGCCGAAGTAGCAGCACTCATGCGACGTGGCACATGGAAACTGGTATCACGATCAGCAGCAAAGGGGAGGCAGAAACACAGCAAGAAATGGGTGTTCCAAATCAAGCGGACTAATCAATTAAAAAATACAAGGCGCGTGGGGTCGTGTGTGGCTTCGAGCAAACGCAATTTATTGACTACGACTAGACATTAGCACCTGTCGGCCGACATAACTCAGTCCGAATATTAATCTGCATCGCCGCCATCAAGCAGCACCCGCTCCGCCAAATCGACGTCTCAAATGCGTTCATGCACGCAATTGTTTAAGTGATAATCTTCGTCGAACAGCCGCACACGTTCGAAGAAGACGACTCCGCGGTGTGCCTCCTCCATAAGTCGTTGTACGGCATCAAATAAGCACCATGCTGGTGGCAGCAGTATCTCCATACAGTCCTCATCGAGCTCGGGTTCCAAGAGCTCTCGCACGACTAGGGAATGTATCACCTGGAGTCCCGCAACAAATACGTCCTGCTCGTCGCCTACGTGGACGACCTGCTCTACACCCGGGACGATACGGAACTGCTTGACCAATTCGAGAGAAACATTGAAGAAAAACTCAAAGTGAAAGTCTCACACGATGTTACTCAGTTCCCGGGGCTCAACATCACCTAGTCCGCTGATACGATCCACCTATCGGCTGCCAAGTACTCCGAAACGCTGGAGATAGTGACAACAGACGCAAGCGCAGCAGTTCGCAAAGGTACCTGACGGAACTCCTCCAGGAAGCGAAGGTGACGATGGACAGGTCCTTCAAGTTATTGTGCGAGAATCAGAGCTGTCAGAATATGTTGTTTGTGTAGCCTGCAGTGGGGTACTCAATAGTGAGTACAGCCCCTTAGGGTTTGCTATTTGTATCCTGCTGCTTGCTAGTCCAATCATTCCTTCCTCATTTCTGTTCGTGCACACAACTCTCGCTCGTACTTGGCGCCTCCTTTCGTAGTCCTACTGAGGCCTAGGCTACTAAGCCTAGGCCGTACTCCTAGTATGTTTGACATGGTATCAGAGGGCGGCGTGTCTCTGCCGCCTTCCTGTGTGAAGATGAGCAGCAGAAGAAGGCGCCATAGCTAGGAAAGCCCTAGCTAGGCAAGAAACAGTTTAGGCAAAGAAGGAGGAGTTGCACTAGCAAGAATGAGGATACAAATAGCAAACCCTAGAAGGGTTGTACTCGCTATAGAGCACCCCACTACAGGCTAGAGCATAATATTCTGACACACCCCCATAGCCAAAGTGGGGTGTAATCAGCAGAGCAAGCAAAGCAGAACAAGCTCAGGGTGGATCACAATGTCACCACACATTCTGAGCACAAGTTCAGGAAGCAATAGTTTAAAGTTCACGATTATGAGCAAAGCTAGTGGTAGTCACAACGGGCAAGTGAGGAGGAGGAGGGACAGTGAGAGGAGAGGAGATAGGAGGCGACGGCTGAAGCTGCAGACACACGGGCAACAGGAGGCACACTGGCACAGCGGCTACCGGAACAGCGCTCCGGACTACTGGAGTAACTGGCCCCGCGGCTAAAAGTAGCGGCAGACGAGCAACGGACCCACGGGCGACTGGCACAGGTGGCTACGACTGGGCTACCGGAGC